GTATGGCATGTCAGGAAGAAGCCAAATCACCAAATGCATCTCAACAAGCATCATGGTCTTGGCCTGGAGGCCCTTGGAAGCGTATTCATATAGATTACGCAGGTCCGTATCTAGGGAAAATGTTCTTAGTCGTTGTCGACGCCTATTCCAAGTATCTTGACATTGTCCCAATGTCTAATGCTACTTCAACTACCACCATAACAGCTTTACGACATATTTTCAGCAATTTTGGACTACCTGAACACATTGTTTCAGATAATGGTAGCCAATTTACCAGTGAGGAGTTTCAGAAATTTCTGAACGATAACAATATTCAACATACTACAACCGCTCCAGGACATCCTGCAACGAATGGATTGGCAGAAAGGTATGTGGGAAATTTTAAAGATAAACTAAAGAAAATGGTGGACTCAGGAGAGCCATTGCAGACAAAATTAGACCAGTTTTTGCTGACGTACAGAGCTACCCCTACAGGTTTAGGAAAGTCACCATCAGAGTTGCTATTAAAATGAACAGGCAACCACGGATCCGATTGAGTGCGTTTAGGGCGAAACAATCGAAAAATGAAGTTAAAATATTTCAAGATAGTCTAGATAATCAACCAAAGTACAGTCAAAATCAAGCAGTATTCGCACGAAATTTTGGCAAAAGAGCAAGATGGCTTCCATGGGTTATAGTAAAGATAATTAGTTCTAGAAATTATGACGTGAAAGTGGGGGATGTTATGTGGAAACGATATGAAGAGCAATTGCGTCCACGACACATACCTAGTTTTGAAAACGCGGAACAAGCGAAGTCCGAGATGGAACAAAATTTGTTCCCAGAAACGAAGACAGAAACAAACAAAAGAGAAATGATTCCTGCACACACGGAGGATAGGGTACCTGCAGTACCAAGTGGGGTTACGAACGAGTTCGATACGTTCACCCCAGTTAACACGAAAAGTAAAGATCGGGACAGTGGAGAACTTACTAGTAAAATGGACTCACTTATTAACGTTACACCAAGCGAGTCCACAAGAATGTATCCTTTACGCGAGCGTAAACCTCTTAAAAGGTTTACTGAACAGTAAAAACATTTTGAACTTAGGTAGATTGTTGTGTTATGTTACGGGTTTAACGTATACAGTGCAGGGACACTTAAAGAGGGGGCAGTTGTTATATATTGATTATATGAAGTACTGTATATAGACGCATGCGCAAGAGAGTCTCAATAGAGAGTTGAGAGGGCGAGGAGTTCTTTTCAGAAATAGTCGTTATTACACTTATTTGGAGATTAAAGGTTATTTTGGCATTCAATCATTACTCGGCTACACGAGAAATACATTACATATTCTCACTTGGATTACAAATCCTAATATTCTAATATTAATTCCACGAAGTAAAGTGAAGAATCCCTCATTGAAGTCCACCTTATAACAACTCGCGCACCCGATTACCTATATATACATGAACTTACGGTTACAGCTTAACAGCTGGTCTCTGTAGCTCAGTTGGTTAGAGCGCTGCACCGGAATCACAGGGTCGTAGGTTCTATTCCTACCAGAGAACCTTGTGCTGCATTTTTCGCAGTCGTTCCTGGTTAGATCTTAAAATGTATATATTATACTTACTTGGATTACAAACCCTAACATTCTAATGTATATTCATATATTTATATTCACATACCGTAAAAACAATCGCTTTCAAAAGAAATCCGTCGGGCAGAACGAATATATGAATATACACTCCCCCCCCCCCTCTCAAATAAAGGTCTAGATACGGCCCTGGCCATTGAATCTTGCAATTGCGCACTTGGCCGCTTGTTGCTACTATAATAATTAAAAATCCCCAACTAGTCGTGATCCACGTTGGAACAAATGACATCCAACATAAAGAGCCCGAGGAGATAGCTAAGGAAGTTGAATCACTGTGTAGAACTATCATGGTGAACGGCTTGTCAAAAGTCGCTATTTCAGAGATCATCCAGAGGGCAGATGACAAATTGAATACAAAAGTTAAAAAAAACAAATGTTCTCCTGGCAAAGGTTTGTAAGAATAATAACTGGTCTCTTATTTCCAATAGTGATATAAATACTTCTAGCCTTAATGCATCTGGTTTACACCTAAATGATAGAGGAGCAGCAATACTAGCGAAGAACTATATTGATTTTTTTCGCAAATGACTATATTCATCACAAATATGCATTTTAGACTATCTTTGCCATATTAACAATTTATCTGATAAGTCATCGGAATCAAGAGTAAATGAACAAGCTTCTACGAGCACTAGCTATAGCGAGAATACAAATGAAAATGAATCTTTAATTCCAAAAATTAGAGGCTTTAAAATGACAAGCTTAAATATTGCTAGCCTTCTAAAACATATTGATGAACTGAGACTAGTAATGCATAATAATGATATTGACGTACTCGCAATTAACGAAACTAGAATGGATAGTACTGTACCAATTGAATTGATATCCCTATCCGGTTATACTTGGGTTTCCAAAGACAGAAATAGATCTGGTGGTGGTGTTGGCTTTTTCATACGTGATACAATTAATTTCCAGCTTAGATCTGACCTTAACGATCCTAATATTGAAATCTTAACAATTGAAATTACCAAAAACAAAAGCAAGCCATTTCTACTTACCACATGGTATAGGCCCCCAAACGACCCTATCGACACACTTTATAAATTTGAAAATTGCCTTAAATTGATTGATAATGAAAATAAAGAAAGCATTATTTTAGGTGACGTTAATTCGGATATCCTAAGTAGCAATCCTTCACATCTTGTCTCTGAGACGAATTTCATCACTAATCTTTATCAATACGAGCAATTGATAAATGAACCTACAAGAGTCACAAAAGACAACGCAACTTTGATTGATCACTTTTATACAACAAAACCAGACTTAATAATTTCTAGTGGGGTAAGAATTATCACTATTAGTGACCACTACTTAATTTACGGTATTCGTAAATTTTATACAACAAAGGGAGCCCCGGAAGTTGTAGAATATCGGGATTTCAAGCACTTTAATGAAAACAATTTTCTTTTTGAATTGGAATCATTATCAAGCCTAAATTTAGACCATTTAGATCCCAACATTTCTTGGTTAACTTGGAAAAATAAATTTCTTCATATTGTCAATAAACATGTACCCTTAAAAAAACGTAGAGTGTCTAAGAAACGTGTACCTTGGTTAACCCGTGAGTTAAAATATTATAAACGCCAAAAAGCATATCTTAAACGAAATGCAACTTTATCTAACTTAGACGGCGACT